AGACAACTTAGTCCAATAATCAGGCGCTTTTTGACAGGCTCTCAGTGGCGCTTCATGAGTACGCGCTCAGAAAAAGCGCATGCAGAACAGCACGTGAATTAAATGTTTAACCGGTATTGCTTTAAAGCAGATGGAAATAATGTAGTTTTGTGATTGCGCATAAGTGCAGTGTCCCGTGAGAGTAACTACCGCTGAGCTAACACTGATGCATGTGGCTTTGTACATTATATTGAGACGGAGGGAGGTGCCAGAACTGCAGCTGATAGAATGTGCACTGTAGCACGATACAACGATATTTCTCCAAAAGCAGATCGTGGAGACATTTTAATCGTCCACGATCAAAAATCGTCATATCGCACACCCCTAACTACCAAGTATAATCAATCTCACACACACAAACAAGCACAACGAACTCACTTCACACTATTAAGCGGCTGTGTTATGAACATGCATAACTGTATCGCACGCGTGCTACAGTGGTAAATTTATTCATCGCATAGACCAGTTTTTTCGTAGCACGTGCGACATATATGTCGCACTGTACAGCCCTGATATAGTATAAAAGTTATATAAAATATATAATAGATATTGTTGCAATTATTTTTCAATTAATTGTGTAGCTCATACTGCTGTTCTTCAAATCTTAATCTGGAGGGCCAATGCCCTGCAGAGATTAGCTCCAACTCTAATTAAACACACCTGAGCAAGCTCATCAAGGTCTTCAGGATCCCTAGAAAATCACAGGTAAGTGAGTTTGATCAGGGTTGGAGTTAAACTCAGGGCAGTGGCCCTCCATGACCAGATTTGAGGAACCCTGGTATAAAGCATCATGGTGTCCAACTGTTAGCTTTCTTTGATTATCAAAATCAACTGACATCTGCAATCCACTCACCGATCTCTTCTTTACAGCCCTCTATCTCCAGCTGTAGAGTGTCCTCCAGGTTCTCTTTGAGACACTGCTCTGCCTGAATCTGCTCCTTCAAGAACAGAATTTCAGCCTTCAGCTTCTCCTCCAAATGCTCTGCTGCTGTGTGCGCAGAAATAATGTCCTCCCTGTACTGCAACACCAGCTTCTGAAGTTCCTAGGCGGCAAAATTATATTAAAAAAAACTAATAGTTCAGACTGTATAATCTGATTGGATTGGATGAGCTCAGTATCCAATATATACACATCTGTGACATATCGGTATGTCAGCATGTCAGTTGAATTTTACATGTGACTCTGGAGCTGGGGTATATTTGTAGCAATAGCCAAAAATACATTGTATGGGTCAAAATTATAGATTTTTCTTTTATGCCAAAAATCATTAGGATATTAAGTAAAGGCCATGTTCAATGAAGATATTTTGTTAATTTCCTACTGTAAATATATCAAAACTTAATTTTTGATTAGTAATATGCATTGCTAAGAACTTCATCTGGACAACTTTAAAGGCGATTTTCTCAATATTTAGATTTTTTTGCACCCTCAGATTCCAGATTTTCAAATAGTTGTATCAGATTTATATCTATGTATAAATCTAAATTTAGAAAAATTGACCCTTATGATTGGTTTTGTGGTCCTGGGACACATATATTTATTTATTTGAGATATATATATCAAACATTTTACAACCGTAAATTTCCGCCAACTTTTAGGTCATCATGGGATAAGTATTTTTGAGTAATGTAAATAGTTTCAACTAATAGAAAAACTAATTTTACATAATGTTCTAAGATTTTATTTAGCAATTTTTAGTGATGTTCTAAGATTTTATTAATTTTCCTGATTTTTAATCATTCAAGATGTTATTATTAATTTCACTTTTCTTCATAATGTTCTAAGAGTTTTTTTTCCTATTTTCCCCATCATTTTCTATTTACATTTATCTATCAAACGATTTTATCCAAAGCGACTTAGAAATATTATTTCCCTAATGTTTTCCCATCATTTTTGAAGATTTGATCAAAAAAATAATCTTTTTTTTTTTTTTCATAATTTAAGATTTCATCATCAATTTTCCTATTTATTCTTCTTTCGATTTCTAACATTTTCCAAGATTTCTAAGATTTTATCAGTTTCCCTTTTTATTAAATAATTTTCTTAGATTCAAATAATACTCCTGATCAATTTCTATGATTGTATTGAACCTTGCCTCTTGGTATAATTTTTATTTTCCAAGAAAACATTTGCTCATACTGCTGACAAAAAGAAAAATAGCTGCACACTTGATGCATTTCAGCCAATAGCGCATTCCTCAAAGCGCATCAAGATATACAGTGGTGTGAAAAAGTGTTGGCCCCCTTCCTGATTTCTTATTTTCCACAGTTTTAACAGGGGGGCAAACACTTCTTCACACAGGGCCATGTAGTTTTGGATTTTGTTTTCCCTTAATAATAAAAACCTTCATTTAAAAACTGCATGTTGTGTTCACTTGTGTTACCTTTTACTAGTCATTAAAGTGTGACAAACATGCAAAAAAATAAGAAATCAGGAAGGGGGCCAACACTTTTTCACACCACTGTAATATGATTTCATTTCACTTTGTGTCATGCCTAACAACAGTCCTTAACCTCGTCTGCAGTTTTACTGTAACATTTGACATATTTTCTTACTATGCTGCCAAAGATGGGGGACCAATCAAACAGGATTAATGTCGTGCAAGTTACTTCCAAACTGTAATACATTATAGATTACAAGGCTCAAAACAGTGCAAGACAGGATGACAGCCAGAATCACAAACGATCCAAGTCTGTTAAAAGTATGGTAGAGGTAAAGTGATTATCTGGCAATATCTGTGAATAGCTTGGGTCTATTCATATTAGACACAACAGGACTATATGTAAACTCTAATGCCATGACAAGATGCGCATACATGCATCTCGCGCATGTACAGTCTTCTGCCATCTTCACCCATTAGCCGCTTTTCCACTGGCCAGTGCGAGCCGGGCTTACAGCGAGCCGGGCAGGGCTAATAGCCTCGGACCTCGAGCACAGAGGCCGAAATCATGCCGCGTTTCCACTGTCGGGCCAGTAGCCTCGCGGCACTCCTGTAAAACCCGCCCCCTAAACACGCCTTTACTGGACTACGTCACACAATACAAAGTTCCACCAGCGATAGGGAGATGAATGAAATAAATCGCTAAACAAATATATCAGAAGCTGTCGTTTAGTCTTTATTTACAAACTTAGACACCACACGCAGCTATTGACCGACCACGAACAGGAAATAGAACTTACTTGCGGCATTTTGGATTCGTTAATGTCTCGTGGTCTTGCTGTTTTTTTCTTTTCTTTGAACAATTAAATTTTGGGCTAAAAGTGTGTTGTAACGCATGCGTTACTGAACATGTACCGAGTAAAATATTACTGAAAATTGATTAGTAATGCCTTACACTACTGCGTTACAGCAAAAAGTAATCAGTTACTGTAATGCATTACTTTTGTAATGCGTTACTCCCAACACTGAACAGGATATGTTCAAATGTTAAAGCTGATTGATGAAGCTCAGTGGAACTGAATAGAAGGTGCATTTACAAGTGCAACTCACATATGTGTTGTAGTACCTGTACAGTGGTAGGCATGTGAAAGTCCTCTTGCTGCTGCAGCGTCATGTGAAATCTGTGTTTACCCTGAAGACTCTCATTATCTCTCTGCAGTCTGTTCAGCTCTTCAGTCACCTGCTCTCTGGACTGTAGCAGCACAGCCTGAACACACACACACCACTTAGCCTAAACCCACTGGAAGCCACAAATGGTTTTCTAAAGCATATATCCAAGTAAAGTGGAAAACAATCCATTATAAAAGAGGGTTTTTTAAAGAAATCGGCCAATAAAAATATCAGTGACACTGAGATTCACCGTGCATTCTTCAGTTAATAACTAACCGAGAAACCTTTCAAGGGTGATTTTTTTAGGGGATAATGTCACAACAGAATCAAGTTTATCACCTTAAGGGGCCGTTCACATGTCGCGCCTAAAAACGTGTGGAAAATGTTAGGCGCACCGCTTTCTGCTTTTTTCCAAAGCGTTCGGGCGCTTGCGCTCCGGAGGCGTCTGCCATTGCTAAGCAACCATGACCTGCGCTCTCCGTGAAGGCATTGCAGTTTCAGCAAAGGATAAATGGATTTGCAGAACTAAAAATCGCTTGCAGTAGCTCTGCTACTAAATTTTTTTTTTTTAAACGGCTATCCCTGTACAGCTATGATCAGCTGTTCCTTCATCTTGGCTGAGCTTTCAATGTTGTTACGGGAAAGGATTAAGCTGATTGGTTGGTTCTTGTCACATGACCCGCGGTGCGCTTGCAGCATTCTGAAAAGTTGAAATGTTTTTATCATGATGCGGCGTGGACGCGCCTGGAAAAAATTAGCACGTCGCACCGCGTGTGTGTCGGGACTGCGTCGCTTCAATTATGAGAAATAACGAACTTGAGCGCGCAAAAGACACGATATGTGGACGGCCCCTAATAGTGCAACTTCAAATTTGAAACAGATGTGCATCAAGAAAGTGCATGAATACTGAATGCCAAAAGTTGCTTTTATGCATTAGTACAAATCACATAGTTGTGAAGGAGAAATTCAAAATAGGACAATATCTAAACCAAGACATTCTTCATTAAATATTTGAAATGAAAAAAACAACACATGTGCTTTCACTGAAAGTCATCAGGCAAAGCAAGTGAATGTTGTTGTTTAGGAGTGTGTGTATTTGGTCATACCATCTGTTCCTGGGTGTTCCTCTTGGCCTGGCTGAAGGCCTGTTGGAGAGCGCTTATGAGAGATTCAGACTCCTGAACTTTCTGTTTCAACACGGAGATCTGTGCACCAGACAAATTAAAATTACTCAAGTCATTTGACTTGAAAGAACAGTAACATTCAGAGCAGTCCATACATTCTTCACATTTGTGAAACATACTGTGAAGACACTGTGGCTGTATTCTAATCCCTGGTGAGCTGCCTAACCACACATCATTTTTAGTCAACGAATACTTGCTCTTCTAAACAGCTGCCTTGTTAGGTACACTACTGTTCAAATGTTTCAAAATGTTTATGCTCACCAAGGCTGCATTTATCTGATCGAAGACACAGTAAAAACAGTAATATCAAGAAATCTCATTACAACTTAAAATATATTAAAATAGAAAACAGTTGTTTTAAACTTTAAATGTATTCCTGTGATGGCAAAGCTGATTTTCAGCAGCCATTACTCCAATCTTTAGTCTCACATGATCCTACAGAAATCATTCTAATATGCTAAATTGTTGCTCATAAGACATTTCTTCTTGTTAAAATAAAAAAATTGTGCTGTTTAATATTTTCGTGGAAACACACAAGATATATTGTTTCAGGATCCTCCAATGGATAGAAAGTTTAGAAGCTTACTGTCAATTGTGATCAATTTAGTGTGTCTTTGTTGAACAAAAGTATTGATTTCTTACAAAAAAAAACTATTTATATTGTAGCAAAGGATGGTGGATATAATTCAGGGCAGTCAAAAGAGTCAAAAGATGTTAAATTTGCCACCACTCCCTCAGCCATTTATTAGAAACACTCATAGCAACAACTAGTTTTCTGAAGCTTAACGCCAAAGTAATATAACACAAAGTATAGTGTTATAAACATATACTGTAAAAAAACATGAACGTAGTGTCCGTGATGTCACTCGTAGTTTTCTGAAGAGCATTTTTGAAGCCTAAAGTGGGCGGAGCCGACGGCCGCCATCTTGGCAGAGCATCACCGCACGTCACTCCCGGATAATCGAAAATGGGCAAAAAGGCGGGACGTGGGTGAAGCTGAGGTGCCTGGTTGCTGAAACCACGCCCGTCAATAGAGTGGTGGAACTATGATGTAATTTTGTAGGCAAAAACCCGGAAGCAAGTTAGCATTTTAGCACTTCCGGTTCCATCCAGAGTCAAAGGGTTTTTTTAACAGGATTTTGGTTAAATCCCTAAATGAAGGTCCATGGCTCACACAAGCTCAAGATACTTTCACGTTTTATTCTACGACATAGAACCAGTTACACCCCTCTCATATTTTTTTTTAAACTGTTACGTTTCTTAAAAAAGACGGTTGCTAACAAGTTGCTAAAAGGGACTACAGACGCTGTCGGAGACATTAAACGTCATCACGCCGAACAGTTTATCAATTTACAATATTTTCCAATAGTAGTATAATTTATAGTACAATTAATTGTAGAATAACCAATTATTATTTTCCCGCATTTTATATTGTTTTTCGACAATGTTTTTTTATTTATTTATTTATTTTTGCCCCGAAATGCAACAAGTCTTTGGATGGAAGATCGCTTTCCTACCGATACAGAGACTCTGGGTTCGTACCATAAGGTAAACTCATATTATGATTATTCCATGTAAACACCACATTTACCGGCTTAGTCACGGTGAAAGTGAAACTTTAACAATGCATAGTGCTTAAAGCCACGTTAAAATTAAACGTTTACGGCCACATGAAGCGGTTATAGATTGAGGATTTTCTAGAAGCAAGGATAAAATAACATTTTGTGTATCCACCCAAACCAAACGATAGCTGAAATGTGGTACTTTATTCACTAAAATAAGTTTAATCTCTAACTATATCCAAAAACTCGCTCACTCTGCTGTTATTTAATAGATTAAATGCACTAGAACTTAACTGAATAGTACGTGGAGACACGTTTTTAATTAAAATATTCATATTAATCAAGGATTTATTGACTTTTAATGCACCTTATTTCGAAATGTGCAGAAATACGTGCTTTCATGTGTCCTTTAGTTGTGATTTTCTCATTTATTCACTATACTATTTATTAATAATATCTCATTTCAGTTTTAGTTTGGCTTTAGTTTTGTATTTATTCCAGTTTATGTGAAAAGGTTCATGTAGCGTGGGTTAAAATTCATATACAGGGTCAATTCTTTTCACTGAACGTGTTAAAAGTAAGTTTGAAAAAATGTGGGAAGCATGGTGGTGGTGACGATGAAGGCGAGCGACCGTGGTGGTGTAGTTCGTTTATAGCCCAAGTTTAGCTTTTAAGTTCTGGCGCTTTTATTTAGGCTTCAAAATTCATAAAAGTTATATTATTTTGTTAAGATTATCTTGATGGACAAAACGTGTAAGTTTCATGAACTATGATTGAACACAGAGCTTATTTTTTGCGATAATCCAAAAACCTATTGAAAAATCCTATTGGCTTTTTGAACCAGCGCGATGCTAACAGCCGATCCGCCTACAAAGTGACGTCATAGTTCCCCCACTCTATTGTGACAGCAGTGCTGCCATGCAGACACAACACCATAACTTCGTTTTTGGTCAAAAATTAGTTATTGATAATTTTGGGACATTCATGGCTTCCTTTGTCATGTGTATAAGTATCTTGGAGAAAAGCCCCAGAGATACCAAGGCAGAACACAGTATATCATCAGTTATCGCTCTTTGACTTTGTTTTAGAACGCTCAAATTAAGTTACGGTGCTCTGCATTTGTTTAGCCCTTCGTCAATATTACTGTGCCAGCCTGGAGTTATACGGTATTCTGCCTTTGTTTTACTGTCCATTAAAGTCTGCCGCGTTTGTACACACGGTGTAACCTGTGTAATTTCATACATCTGTCATTGAAGCACTTCATTAGACAAACGAATTAGACAGATCGCTATCTAACTGCACCATATAACAAACAAGCAAAGACTAGATAACTTGGCAACAATAAGTAATCGTAAAAAATCTTTAAAGTTTTCCGTTTTATTTTTATTTTTTTATAATGCAGATTATTTACTCAGTGCCAGCCTGTCAGTCTGGGGCTACCCACTTCTAGCCCTAAAAGGGGTGACGTATCCTGGGGGATACAAACATTTGAGAAGCTGTGGGGAGAAGCAGTGAAAGCGTAGGTCTCATTTCTTGGTTTCATCTTGAAAGGGTGTTTGTTGTGAATATTTAGATGAGGTGACTTTTGTTTCTCCATTCTTTGTTTAGCTCATGGGCAGCATTTAAACCTGCATGGCCGCCTGTAGTGGGAAATCTACTCACCCTCCTATAAAAGTTGATCTAGTTCACATATTTACACATGTTGGAGAGGACTTACCTGTTTAAAAAGCTGTTGTTCAGCATTAGCTTATTAGGTTTACATTGACATTTTATTAATGAAATGCTTACATTTTTTGTAATCTGTCTCTAAATGTTTGTATCTCAGGGGATACGTCACCCTTTTAGGGGTATAAATCAAGATATAAAAACATATATAGAGACTCTGTGATTTTGTGTCTTGTGTTTTAGAAATTCTTTCTGTAATCTTGAAAAAACACATATTGTTGGAAAGGTCTAACAGTCAAGGTTCCATATTTGGTGACTGTTTTGTAATAGAAGTCATATTGTGACAGAAAACTGCATCAAAAAATTCAATAGAGTTTGGGTATAACCCAGTGGTTATTTTTGGTATAGTGCCCAAACAAAATCTCACAAGAACCACAATTTTTGTGATATCAACTAA